GATATTATTAATCGATATGAAGTTAAGTCACATATAGAATCTATATAATAATCAACAAAACAGTGAATGCGATAATAATGATTAGTTCGGTATAATTAATGTTGCAATTAATAGATAGCGGTAAATTTAACACAATAATAACTAATATATAATTAGTATAAAATGTATCATTAAAAAATTAAATCTACAATTTACTAATAAAGCCTCTGTTAAATAGGAAAATAGTAATTTAAATAATCAGTTTTCGTTATTTTATTCTAAATGTAAATTGCATTCAATTTTAACAACAATTCAACATTGAATAATGTGGTTTATAAAAACGTTAACCTCTTACCCCTTCCTAGCTTTTTATGATTTAACATTGATTTATCGCATTATCTATAAACCCAGCATTACTTATGTTAATTCAAGATCAGTTACCCAGCATTACCCATGTAAATATAATGTCCATAAATTTAGCACTAATTCCATTAGGTTAACATCCATTAGTACTATACGATTAGGCTCAACCAATTCGAAGTCTATGACATAGGTTTACAATGAGCAATGTTATGTTTATGGCATTCAATTTATATGGGCAATGCTTAGTCTATTAGTAATGTTGAGTCTATGGATAATGCTAAGTCTATGGGCTATACTGAGTCTAATTTTAAATTTATCAATAATGCTAAAAAGGAAATATTTTACAGTTCAAGTGGCGTAGACCATTCTAATTAATATGGACATGTTCCGTACGGTTCACAGATTAATTGACTGTTGAAAAAATCGGCGAATGGCCACAAATGACCGAATTATGGACAAAATTCGAAATAAATACATAGCATCTAATGCATAGACTTGTGGTGAAAGATCTGTGATATGTGTGAATCACCATTTATTACAACTTTTGATCATTCATCATACCTTTAACGTTGCCTGAATTCAATTGAATTCTATGTATAAATTTCGAATTTTGTACATAATTCGGTCATTTGTGGCCATTCGCCGAGTATCTCAACAGTAAATTAATTTGTGAACCGTACGGAACATGTCCATATCAATAAGAATGGTCTACGCCACTTGAACTATAAAATATTTCCTTTTAAGTGTTGTCAGAAACATGTAAAATTTTCAAAATTAAACAAGGATCACACAGCGATGCGATACTTTAACCAATTTTCGGGTGATTCTCAAAGAATAGATTAAGATTGTCTACACATTCAATAAGAGTTCATAGGATTAGCATTACCCACGTTATTCTTACGTCATAGACTTAGCATTGACCATAGACTTAACATTAGTCCATAGGATTAGCATTACCTATGTTATTATTATGTCATAGACTTAGCATTAACCATAGACTTATCATTGCCATAGATTTAGCATTACCCATGTTATCCCTATGTTATAGACTTAACATTACCCATGTTAAAGTATAGCCATAGACTCAAGCTGTAATCCCATGTTAAATCCCATAGAGCGGGGGGTGGCTGGGGGAGGGGTAGCCGAACGATCCTGTAAATCACATTATTCATATCAGAATAGTGGTTAACAAGTGAATATATTTTAACAAAAGTGTTGAAGAATGACATTTGTTATGCATATGCCGAGATGTGGTTAACGCATAGCATAGCGTGTGATGCCTTGTTTGTTAAGGGGCAGTCAAGTAATCTTGACGCTAGCATTTTGGCCATTACTCCTAAAGTATAAGAGATAATTAGATTCTGTAAAATAGATATAATAGAGAATTATTGGAGAAACTTTTTGTATATTTTATAAATTTATTTTTGTCACGTGATATATTCAAAACTAGACGATTCTATATGGTCATATTACAGGTCAAACTATAAGAGATATGGACATAGTTTTAATGTATGATTTATAGAGGGATAAAAGGTGTATTATATAACGAAAGAATTATTAAAATCCAATTGCAGGTTGTCACATAGCAGCTTAACAAACTAGGCCAAGTTTTGCATGTTAACCTATAGGGATGAAAAATAATATTGTATTTTAATATAACTAATTATATATTTCAAAACTACATTCAATGCTGATAATGTGAGTAAAAGAAATTTTTTTTAAATGTCATTCCAAAGACCAAATATCTTAAATTAAAATATTGAAAATATTGAGTTTTCTTTGGATTTTATGGCTAAAAATAAATATTTCAATTTAAGATATTTTGTCTTTGGAATAACATTTTTAAAAAATTTCTTTTACTAACATTATCAGCATTGAATGTAGTTTTCAAAAATATAATTAATTATGTTATAATACAATATTATTTTTCATCCCCATAGGTTAACATGCAAAAATTGGCCTAGTTTGTTAAGCTGCTATGTGACAACCTGCAATTGGATTTTAATAATTCTTTCGTTATATAATACACCTTTTATCCCTCTATCAAATAAGTATAAATAATTAAGTATAAATACTTGTTTAATAATTGCAATAACTATAAATAATAAATACTATAAAATAGGACCAAATGGGAGGTACGGTCATATATAACGTCAAGTACGATTACATAGGACTATAATGGGGTTCCCATAGACGGAGAAATTTCTTGAGAAATTTGTTAGAAATTTCTCGTAATTTTTGGAAATTTCTCATTTTACCCAACACTAGTCAACTTTTAAAATGTATTGATAAAGAAGTATTCAGCGAAATACATTTTAATTAAATGTTTTGTTTCTTAAAGTTAAGTAAATTTAATGAAACAAAGTTTGGGACAATTGTTATACAGATTATTGACACACATTTCACGGCTTGTATTAAATTATAATGATTGCGATTTCATTTAAACTGTAGACATTAATTAATTTCAATTGTGAACCAAATTTAAATCAAAGTATTGTCAGTTTCACAAGTATTATAAATTATGAGTGCATATAAACTTATACGATGTTTCTTGGTTACATTTTCAATTATAACTGATAATTTATCAGTGAACAATATACAGTATTTTAATTTATTTAAATAACTCTTTTAGCACAATAAAATTATCATGTTTTACAATGGTGCTTATCATTTAATGCAAATCAGTAATTTACTGCATTCAGTTAGAGTATGTATAGCTTTCAATGAGAATAAAAGTAAAACTACATAATTATTAATTAATTAACCAAATGTTTAATACAATTGTATTGTACAACAAACTAAAACCAAAAATGATCGAGTCAAAATTAATAAAAGGGGCGCACGGCTGGCACTGTCGAACTATTTTGGTGTCCATCGCTGCGATGATCATCCAGGAAGATGGTTGGCCACAGGCCTGTATATTATCCGACGGTTTTATAACCATATTCAACGAAATACTAGGACTCTGTGGCGTTAAAAAGCGCAATTTTAAATTGACCATGGCGTTCATTTTAATCTGCGTGGCATTGATCATTCTAAACATATGGTACGTTGCAAACATGCACGTGTGGACCCCCTTAGCAATGCTAATATTTATGTTATTCTCGTGCGGTTACGGCATCGCGTGGGCCCGGCATCTGAAAAAACCCGTCCAAACGCCCGCTATTGTGACCGTCTGTCCAGTTGTCGTAGAAGTAATCCGAACTGTAACTGTTACTAATGTTATGCGTTATTGACCATGGTCACTCTTAATTATACATTCAACGTTGATTAATTGATGAAGTTGATATATGTATTGAAATATTATGTTAAATATTATTATCACAGTACACCAAATAGAATCTTTTATGATGTAAAAATAACTTTATTTGTTAACAAAATAAGTTTTGCCATTTAAAACAGCCATAAAAATTTAACTATTATATTATAAACTATTATCTAAAATCTAGATAATTAAATACAGCCTCCGATAGTCCAGTGACACTGTGGAAAGCATATAATTATTATTGATTAAAATAATATTTTATTATTAAACAATAAACCGAACACTAAATTATGTATGTCTTTAATGATTTAGATTAATGAATTAAACATTAATATTAATAAATTAATGGGCAACTTAGAGGTATCGCACAGTGGTCGTCGGTCTTACAGCGGGTGCAGGCGCTCAGACACGACACTATTTGGTCGCCAGACACCCGGAAGCTCATCTTACCTTAAGCTCATCCGGAAAGTAATCATTGATTATATAATATTTATTTTTTATTAAAACACAAAAACTGAACTTTTTGTTTACGACAACAAAATATCACAATTGTTGGCCAAATTTTTCTGTAATAAATCTTCAAATAAAATATTTGTCTACAAAATAATTGTTGTTATTTTATGATTAGACACGAGAGAGCGTGTAATCGGATATACATTTATTTATGAGTTTGGGTTTAATGGTGTGAACGAAACCAAATGCAATGAAGTTGTATTTCACGGCAAAAGTAATGTTAAATGCCGAGTGTTGGGTCAATACATATTCGCAATGATCTCAATGGATGTGAAGTTAGGGAAGACTTGTTTGCTGACCATCAGTGACACGACGAGATTCAAGACAGAAACTTGTTTGCAAATATATGCGCTCAATGTTTATACAATCACTGCCTATAACTCGAAGAATAACTAAATCAAAGCTTTTAACAATTTGATCGGAAAACTGTTTGTTTAATGATTTGTGATAAGTTTTTCAACTGTTTTCGCTATTGTTTGTATTCTGTAGTTTAAAGAAAGTTATTTGAAATGATTCTGTGATACAATTTGGTCGTCTAAAAGAGGCCTATTGTCGGACACCATCTCAAATATCCTTACAATTATTACTATCATTTTAATTATTGCACTCATTATAGTGTCAATAATCGTCTCATTCCTAGCCTACAACTCCTCTCAAGCCAACAATAAGGACACAAAATGGTCGATATCTTAAAACGCGATTCACTTTTTTCAACTTATTTTCTCTTATATATTAACTTTATTAAATCGACGACATCGATCGCGACAAATTAATTATTCAATTATTAATAATAGTAATTATATTAAATGTATAATAATATTAATAATATTTAATGATTTAATATTATTAAGACTACAATGTGTAACAATGTTTAGTTTAATTAAACATATTTAGCATAACTGGAATCCCAGTCCCTTTGGAATATAGATTGCAAATCATTTCTTAAATTGTGTTCAGCGGATGTGTTATTCTTGGAAGTGATGATAAACCCATTTCCAGCAGAGTTTACAAAATAGTCGGCCGCCCAGTTGGACGTTCCGATGTATGCGGTCTTATCTGTGACCATATATTTGTCGTGATACATTCTAGCGTAGGGTATTGAGGCCTGAAATGGTGTGAAAGTGGGCACAACAAACAGCTTAACCTCAATCGTTGCTCCGAAAATTTTCTCATCATTAAAAGCGGCCAAAGAATGCAAGAATATAAGCAGTGATTCTCTCGTGTAATTCGTATGACTCACTAATAATCTTACGTTAACTTTTCGATCAATAACCGCACTCTTGAGGGCGTTGTCTATAAGTGGCCAGAAGTGGATGTTTTTCTGGAACAGAAAGAGTGGGTAGTAATTCATAACTGATATATGAATAAATTTATCGGCATTTTCTATAATGAATAGAATGGCGTCGATATCATTGGTTCGGCCAAAAGGGCACAACGGTTTGGGAGAAGAAGACAGATATACGCTATAATTGGTTTGATTTATAGAAATTAATAGCGGATTTGATGCATTAAAAGTTGTGGTTAATTCTTGCGGCCATTGTTTAGGAATTGTAGAGTTTTCTACTCCTAAATACCAGAAAACTTGAAATATTTTGGACAAATCGTTGGCCAAAGTGTGGCAATCATTCAAAACGATTCCCAACTCCTTAATCTGAGTCAATGCTCTCCAATCCATATTCGCGGACCCGATATACAGGTGCTTATTATCGACGATAACAAAGTTTGTGTGCAATACTCCGCCCATTAGTCTATTGAAGTTGATTTCACGTATTTGTGCCAACCCTTGAAGAAGTGCCAAATCAGTGCTATTGTCGCCGAAGATGTTATTATTGGAAGCGATTCGTATTTTTACGGACCGATACTTTGATAAATCCATGAACGCATTTAACAGTTTGGTTCCCTTAGCACTTGAATTGTTCGGATGCGGCATAACATCAGTTCCCTGTAATGTCCAATAGATGGACGCGATGTCTATCGTAAACTTCGCACTCGAGACCAGACCAATGAGTGCATCAAAAGTGGATTTCGATTTAATAGTTGTATTGTATGTCAAACCTATTGGAATCGTCTCCACTAATTGTGCCCCACATTCAGACACCTTATGAGAGAGACATTCGATATATAATAAATCACTCAAATTTATAACTAGAAACAAATTAATTGCCAAAACTTTCATTGAAATTAATTATTCATAACTTTTAAACAAATTGAATAAATTACTGTAATTTGTATATAATACAAGTCTAACTGTATCCGTTCTTACGACTTTACCCCCAAAATGTCATTAAGCCCCATCTCTCCCTTTTATTAGTTATGCCCGACTATATTATTAATGTGTGTATTAAAGTATAGATTCATTATAAATGGCGAATATAAGGGCATAAGTAATAACTAAGGGCTGGGCATTCGTCAATAGTCATCTGGGAAGTTAAGTCATATGGATCTATTTGTCTGTACCACTCAATATGGTAACTTTTTATTATTGCTTCACGTTGAACACAAATTGGCAGCACTTGTATGACTGCATACGATAAATAATGTCAATTAATTTAAATAATCTATAAATTATGTAAAGGGGCAGTCACGTAATCTTGACGTTAGCATTTTGGCCATTACTCCTAAAGTATAAGAGATAATTAGATTCTGTAAAATGGATATAATAGAGAATTATCGGAGAAACTTTTTGTATATTTTATAAATTTATTTTTGTCACGTGATATATTCAAAACTAGACGATTCAATATCGTCATATTACAGGTCAAACTATAAGAGATAT